TAACTCTTCTGTTTCTTCCTAGCTTGCATAGGAGCCCTCAGGTAAAGGAACTGAACTTCTTTCTGACCTACTTGATTTCAGTTTGGTTCCAGGAGGGTCCAAAGAAGATGTATATCACTTATCAATTTGTAATTTCATTTCATTTCAACACTAGCAAACACTCAGGGTTTTCTAGAGATAAGATTTCTATTCCATGCTGTGACTTGATTTAAAAGAACAAGGAAGGAGGGGCATCCGGGTGGCTCAGTTAGTGAAGCATCTGCCTTCGGCTCAGGTCATGATCCCGGGGTCCTGGGATCGAGCCCCATGTTGGGCTCCCTGCTCAGTGGGGAGCCCGCTTCTCCCTCTCCTCCCCGCTCATGTGCTCTCTCTCTCTATCTCTGTCTCTCTCTCAAATAATAATCTTTAAAAAAAAAAAAAAAGAACGAGTAAGGAAATAATCTGAAGTTTGTAGTTAAAAGTACTACATGTTGAAGCCTCTGTTGCTATTTAGTAAGAGTGATACATTTTTGTTAAAAGTGTGGTCTGCCAGATCTAAGTAGAATAAAAGAGTGAGAGCTGTTTTGCATAATTACAGGATCCACTAGAAAGCAGGAAGTGATGGGGTTCCGCTTCACGAAGGACCTTGAAAGTGGCAGGTCAGAGGGTAGGATGGGGAGCAGGGAGAACCTTAAGTAACACCCACATTTTAAAACTAAGATCCTAGCTATCTTTATGACCTGGATTTAATCTATGCTTTGTATTCCTCTGAATCATACTACTACTGTCCCAGAGCCTCATTGTAATGTTGGTTTCAGGATGCTATTCGTGCTCTGCTTCATAGTGCAGAGTGCTTTGTAGCCCTTTCAAAGGGTGGCTTCTCCCTCTAGCTCTCCTTCTGGCAATTCACAGGTAGGGCAATGGAGAGAGAAGAGGGTGAGTGGATCCCACGTGGATCCACGCCAGTCACGCCGGTCAGGGCTGGTTCGTGGCAGAGGGCCTGACTGATCTGCCCGGTCCACCATCCTCACTCACTTTCCAGATGCCCTGACACAGCATGGCCCCGGGGTCATGGGCTGCTCTAAAGCAACTTAACATGAAAGGGAAGAAGAATGAGGGGCCCATGGCTGCCTACCCATTCTAGGTGCTTTCCCATTGACTTACTCCTCACACGACCTTTGAGAGGAAGAATTTTCAGCTGCATTTTGCAGTTAAGAAACGGAGGCCCACGTCCACACAGCTGGTAATTACAGGTCCAACATTCAGACCCAGCTCTCTCTGAGCAGAAAGCCATGGTCCCCTTCTGGCACGTTGCCTGCACAGGTTACTAGAGGGAACGGTGGCAGTCTGATGAATTCCCTGTCACTTGTATCTGTCCCTCTATTAGTGATTCAGAGAAAAGCCTCTTTAGATCCAAATGAGAATGAATGGCTAGTTTGAGCAGAAGGAGATGTGGTCACATGAACTACATGTCAGTTGTGTGACTGAATGAGCATACGCCTTGGGAATTCATGTTTCTTTTCCACAGCTGTTTATTGAGTAATTACTATGGGTAATTACTGGGAGCTAGGGGATAATTTTAAATGAGCAGGAAACCCATTTTTTTCTCTCCCACTTCAAATGAAGCTATGCCAGTTCACAATACGGAAGTATAGAACCAGCTAATTATTGATCCTGAAATGCTTTATTAGTGCTGAAAGTTACATGAAATAGATGCATAGAATATTCTCTTTATCTTTCTAAATATCCCTACCCTCACAATTAAACTTTATTCATTGCTTTTTCATTTCTTTTTTTTTTTCTTTCTGGTGGGATGCTTATACCAACTGTGATTTGTCTGGCCAATTTTGTACCTATTGACTCGCCCACTTTGCATTAAAAAAAAATCTGTTAGTGATTTTTTAACTTACCTTTACTTTTTAGTTTCACATAGGACAACAGAGAAAGTCATTTGAAGCCCAAGCTCTAATTATCTTCTCCCTAACTGCAAAGGCAGTTCTGCTTAAATTGATGCCCTCTTAAATCCATTGAATTAGGAGGAAATTCCTTAAGTCCATAAGTTTATATATAGTAGAAGGGTACATGAAGGTTATCTTCAGACACTAAGCTATTCTTTTCAATTTCCAGGGCATCCAGTAAGTACTCAATGAATACTTATTGAGGGCCTTGTCTGGTCACTATTCAGGGAACCCAAAAAGAAAAATCCCTGCCCTCATGGAGCTTACACGTTAGTGTAAATCTACATTTTTTGGCAGAGATTTCCATGAAATGCTGTTAAGTATTTTGTGTAGAAGCCATCTAAATTCAAATATATCCTACATGCTACAACATGTAGCTGAATCTCATCAACAAAATGGGCTAAAGGAGCCAAACTCGAAAGAATACATACTATATGGATCCATTTATATAGTACAAAACACTCACCACTAAGCTCTGGGTATGTCTGCGTTGTGCAGATTCATTGAGGGATATGTGTGTGGTAGGTGCCCCTTCTGTATATATATTCTACTTTAATAAAACATTAACAAAAATATTCAGATAGAGACACAAAACACATACTAACTATGAGTTGATTATTTCTAGGTTAACTAGGCATAACTTCTCTGCCCTCTTCCATAGATAATTTAGAAAACACTGGATTTGAATAAGCCTATTCCAATAGGCCTGTTAATTGGCAAACACTGATCCAGTCTTCAGAACTAACTGCTCATGCACTCTCCCTTGACCATTGGTCATCGATTCCAAATGTAGTCATGTTTTTTAGAAAATTGAATGTATTAGGTTAAACTTTAGCCCCTTCTGAAACTATCCCCTGGAGAAACAGAAAATGAGTCTTACTGCCACAAGAGAAATATCCACAAACCTTTTGGCCATTTCAACAGAGACTTTGGGTCTTGCACTGGTTTGGTTGCCTTCACTGTGAACGAAAACAATTATTAATGAATGCATGAATGCAGACTGTTCTAGAATGATAAGAGCAGGTAAGAGAGAAGGGTGGGTGGGCGCCTGGGTGGCTCAGATGGTTAAGCGTCTGCCTTTGGCTCAGGTCATGATCCCAGAGTCCTGGGATCGAGTCCCGCATCGGGCTCCCTGCTCCTTGGGAGCCTGCTTCTCCTCTGCCTCTCTCTCTCTCTCTCTCTCTCTCTCTCTGTGTCTCTCATGAATAAATAAAAAAAAAATAAAGAGAGAAGAGTGGGTATGTGTGCACCCATGCATTCCAGGGTGTTTTCCCTAAGATTACAGGAAGACATCTCTAGAAATGACTCTTTTCCCCATAAACTGTTATGAAACTGAACACGAGACTAGGTAATTTTTTGCTGAAAACCACAAAATTTAATTTGCTGGAAACTGAAAGCAGGACCTTTTTTCTTTACTCAAATAATTCTTTGTCCACCGTCAGAGTGCAGAAATGAACAGCGTTTGAGGGCATAGGTAAGAACCTTCTCTTAACATTACCTTTTGCTGAAGAGATAGTCATTTGTGGAAGCTGCTTTTTTAGACTGTGCTTTAAAATATGTCCTTGTAATGTCCTAATTTCCTTTTTCTAATTTAACCTTTTTCTTTGCTTTATCAGATGCATTAAAATTTAAAGTGTCTATACTGCAGAAGGTACAACTTTGTAGATCTGAATAATCAGAAGAATATAAAAGACTGTAAAAAGGAAAACTTTGGTTTTTCAAGTTATGGAATATTATCCAAATCTGGCTTTGATTAAGGCTGCCAGTTTTCTAGGAATTGTGGTTTTTGTCAAATGCACGCGGAAGGCACTGATTGGGGTTCTGGTTGGAGCTCTGGTTTGCTTTCAGAAAACTGCAGAAACACTCTTTGATGTCATTTGTGCAAAAGCATGAACACATCACGGAAAGGGTCAGTAAACGTGTGCTTCTATGTTGGGTGTCCATTACAGCCCATTACTGCCGAACATAAAGGCAAGAACAGTTTAACTGTTTGTGAACGACCGTAATACAGGTTTGGCTTTTTTTTTTTCTTCTTCTTCTTAAACTACCTTCTCTAAACATTGTGGGTTGCACCTAAGCCTTCTTGTGTTTATATTGAACAGACTCTTTTTTTGTGGGTAGCATGGGGATTATTTTCATCTCTCCTCTGTGTTTTAATACATGTTTTGCATTCTTTAGCAATGTCAAGACCGTTTCTTCATTTCCAGCAGTTAATAAATATTGCTAATTGTGTAACGACACTTCTCTTCCAGTGTGATCGGCAAAAAACGTTTGGCATGCAGATATGTCACCGGTTATGTTTATTGCCAGCTCGGTTACAGAGCTAACCTTCTGTCTTGCCCATCCTCTAATTTTGTATTTGGTCTTGTAGATACGGTCCGAGAACTCCTGTGTCTGATGACGCAGAGTAAGTTGTCTTGTGTTTGTAGGAATCCATTAATGACTAGCTTGAACTGCATGCTTCCCATACTTACCACTAATTGAAATGAAATTGATGCAACAGTGAACTGAGCAGCTCACTGACTCACGCAGCCTCTGAAAAGCGCTTGAAGTTGGAATGCAGAACATATGTTCTGTGCAGGAGAAATGAATGAAAGAGTAACTCGAGCATGATTCTAATACACAGCTGCTGCTTGAACTTAACATTTGCTTTTCATAGATGTGGCATGGGGAGGCTGGTCTGACTGTCTGGATGTTGGTACCCCTTCTGAACCACAGAATTATTCTGCGTTTTGCATTTAATTCTTGATATGTTAGGGCTTGGAGTTAACAATGAAGCAAGTCATTCTCATGGCCCTATTTTTTTTTTTTTTGAGCTAAGAAAACAAATCCTGAACCACTAATTACAGATTCAGAAGCCCAAGTTCCTCCCAGGTTGGAGTAATACAAACTGTGGGATGCTCACGACCAGAACATTGGGGTTGTGTTCAAGTTCTGTGGCATAGCAAGGGGTCAAGATGTCAAACATGACTTGGGCTTCCTCTTCCGGCTCCTTACTTTCCACTCCTCTCAGAGATTCATTCCCTACCTCCGCCTCACATCCAAATTTGAGAAGAAGCCAACACTCTCCCATTTGTGACCACATTAACTCCGTTTCAGAAACGGATTTCCCATCCGCAGAGCATTCTGAAGCAGATATCCAAGGCAAACATTTTCTATGCACAATACTAGCTTTCTCAGAGTTGAGTAAAATCTGTGTTTTGAGAAACAATTAATATCTAATCCCAACGTCAGTGGCCTGCTGAGCCTGATGTCTCTCCTCTGTGACAAGCAGTCTATGGCGCTGGTGGGAGTTTGGGCCATCAGAAGAGCACACACTGGCCTAAGACATTTAAGTCACCCAGTGAGGTGTCTAAATAAGGGTGCAAAACACAAAAGTCATTGCCCCCAATGACAAGGAGATTGGGCCCCCAAATTACTGTTTCCAGTACCTTTTCTACGTCTGTGTTCAAGATGTCAGCTTGGTTTGTCCTAGCACTAAGCCGGCTGCCTCGGGTGCCAGGATCCATTCCCATTGTGCAATCTGTGATTGCTTCGTGGCCTGATGTGCAGCACAGTCATGTCTCAAAACCAAGATTCCCCCTGAGCTTGACTGACTGCATGGAGTTAAGTTGTCTATAAAATTGAGCCCTGGTTATTACACCGAAAATCTGCAGTGGCAATATTTAACACGCATTGAAAGGAAGATGGTCAAAGATGAATAGGCAAAACTTTGATTTGGTTAGCAAAAACATTTTGATGGAATGGATTTATTCTTCCTCAATGCAAGGCCGCTCTGCAGTTTGCCTAAGACGGATCTCTGGGAAATCCCAAAAGGTGGAAGAAAGCAAGCTACGGTAAAGAGCGTTTGAATCCTGCTTGCTCCTGAATGTGAAACCTCACCTATGGGAAAAGTGAATGATTTTTTTCAAGGCAGCAGAGGTGGGGACTCCCTTTCTGCCCTAAATTTACAAAAAGCAGCCTCATGGACTAAGAAGAATGAAAGGGGCTTCTTTTCCAGAGATCTTCTCTAGGAATATCCAAAGTGCTGAATCTCCTTCTTGGGAGTAGGCACAACTTGCATGAAGCCGTGTGGGGAGCAAAGCACAAGGTTTATATGGGGAGTTTCATTTTTAAATAGATATTTATTATATGTTTCGTTTCTTCCCCCACTCTCTCCCTTTTTCAAAATCGTTTAAAGGCAATTATTGGCACAGGCTCTATTTACTCAGAACTGGCACATTCTTAAAATACAGCCCAATCAAAAAAAGATGTGCCCTTTAAGGAAAATACAGGTCAGGGGCAGACCTACCACACAGGCAAACAGAGGTTTCCGCCTCCCAGCTAGCCAAATGTTTCCGTAGATAGAGTTTCGCCTTCTTGCCCTTTTCTTCACGTGCACACTTCTCCTGTCCCAAGGCTCTCCACACCAACAGAGCCTGGGCACAGTGAGAGGTAGAGGCTGTTTTATTCCTAATTCCCTCACCTTTGACCTGGCCCCGAAACAATTTCCAGGCTCTCCTGGAGGTGATTTCATCCTGGCCCTCCAAGATGTCAACCAACCACCATGAGAGACTCTGGGGCTCGGCAGCCGGGGACCCTTGTCCCAACAGCACAAGGCGTGGGCTGAGAGCAGATGTTTAGTGCGAGTCACCTTAATATTCTGGAGCCTGGGCTCCTCCAGGATCCCCCACCCTGCCCCTAAACACACGCTTCTTCATTTTGGAGACTGAGTCCAACCTCTGAAGTAAGGGACATTTTCTGAATGGTGACTCAGCCCATTTTCTGTCTAGTATTATCATTTTTCAACTTGCCTAGTTCCTTTTTTTGAAATGGCATAAAGACATGGCTCATAGTTTAGTTATTTCTTTTTTGGCCAGTTTGCTGGAATTTCTTTAAAACAAAACAAAATAACTCTGGGGAAAAATAGTACTTCCTGGTATATGAAAGGGCAAACCAGAGTTTCTCTTTTTATTTCACTAGCCAGCTTTTGGCCACATTTGGGCTGGGGGGTCATTAGAACTTCATGGTGGGAACAGAGATAGGACCGCAAGACAGAAGAAGGCAGCTCTCAAGGCCTTGCTCCCATTCTTTTCTGAGTACTGTAACCAAATGCCAAGTCTTGGAGAAGACTGCCATTTTTCCTGGGGTTCCAGAAGAATAGAATGAATTTCAGTCTCTTTCTGGAAAGCCTGCTTAAGTGATTTTTCATCCATGATGTTTAAAAAAAAAAAAAACCAACAACATGAGGTTAGGCCTTTCTACCTACCTCTGCAAATTCCCAAATCTTTCTTAAACAACCTTAATAAATAGTCTAAAATAAATGAAAAATCGCATACCTCCCCCCTTGGAGGACTGCAGTTTATCTTTCTGGAAGACGTAGCTGCACGATCCACTGAGTACATAGAGGCAGCTCCCCATGGTGGTTTGCCATATTTGTGCCAAAAGAAGCCTCAGGTAAAAGTCCTATGCAGTCAGAGTATTCGAATACTCTTGGGGAAGACAGATTGTAAGTACATCTTCAGTTTCAGCTCTCTTAGGTCAGACTTAAATAGTCCAACTCCTAGAGAGAAGGAAGAGGCGCCCGACAGATCCATGCAGCTTCATTTTGAATGCGTCGGAATGAAAGTGGGCAGGCCTTGCGTTGAGGATCTGGCTTCCCCTTCCAGAGAGCTGCCTGCTCAGGACCCCACTGGCATCCAGGAACACTGCTGCTGTTGATTGGCTGGCCATGGGGAGAACTATTTTGGACATCACCGATGATGTCTAGAATTAAGTGGAGTCTAAGTGCATGGCTTTTCTTTTTCTTTGTGTTAAGCTGGCTTCAAAAAATGGACTATCATAGTCTTCTGAGAGTTTAACAGTGAACCTCCATTTCTTGATTGTGGGCTGTGTAACCCACTTGGTCCCAGAGCTCATTTCTTTGAGAGGAGAAAAAGGAGGATTTTGCTTTGGTTTTTATTTCTGTTTTCATCTTGCTGCTTCAGCTTTTGCTGTAACAAAGGTCTATGTAAGCACCATAAGAAGAGGCCCTATGGTCTTGCCCAACATTTAATAAGCTCCTATAGAAATATCAATAATACGTACAGCCTAAGGCCTTTAAAAATTGCTTTCCCTATCCTTTGTCTTGTAAAAGAGTAAATTCAGAAGTATCCTGACAAAAATAAGGTAAAATGCTTGTGAGAATATTAAGATACAAAGTATATACTGATTTATATGTTTTATTCCTTAATCTTATGATAAAATACCTTATTTTCTTGATTCCTAGATGCTATCAACTGCCACTACCAATTTATAGACATTTTTACAGGCAATAGAAATAACCACATCAAATATATGAATCACTAATGCATAGCTCTTAGATGCATCCACAGTTCAGAAACTTAAATATGAAAAGTTGCGTGTCTTAGACTTGAGGCTAGATGATTTTTTTGAAAGGGGAGAAATTGCCTTAATGTAGAAAGCACGTAAGACAGCTCTTTACACAAGCATTTACTGTAAGAACGTTTTGCTTCATGGAATGCCACCCTCCTTGCCCATACATTCTCCCCACGTTATTTAATTCTCTTCATTTTGTTTCCTAATACCTTTCGAATCCAGAAGAGCCCAGAGCTCCAAATACCTTTTTCTAGCTCTTCCGTAATGTTCTGGCACCTACGTATAAAATTATATTGACTTGCTGCAGCCACCCCTGAAGGCAAAGATGGTCACATTTCGGCTTTGCGGGTTAAAAGAAGAGGTGGGGGTGCTAGCATGCCCGCTGCTGGCTGGGGGATTGCAACACGCCGCAACGCGCGGCTGTCGAGCTGCGAAGGGAAAAGGGGCAGTTTTGCCAGCGCGGTAGCGCCCCCACGCGGCAGAACGCGCAGACACATCCCGGGCACCGGTCCATTTTTGTCTGTTCTCTCTCCACGCTCAGGAGCACGAGTATGTTTGACATGCGGTGTGAGGAGGAGGCCACGGTGCAGCCACACAGCAGGGCCCGCCAGGAGCAGCTGCAGCTGATAAATAACCAGCTGCGGGAAGAGGACGACAAATGGCAAGATGTGAGTGCCGGCCAAGGCCAGGGGCAGCGGGGAGGCTGCCCTGCACCATGGGTTAGAGCCCCCTTGGAGCAGGAAGTCAGGTGGGGCGGGTAGACTTGGACTTGAAAGCTAGGCAGGGGAAGGGAGCCCTTCGGGGATTTCAAACAGGGACACAGGAAGTGTGGGAATTAAAGGAAGGTTAATGGCAGCATGAAAGGTGAAGAGTGAAGGACGCAGACATGTATTGGGCAAGTCCCCCCGCTAGAAGGTTGGCCACAGAGGGAGGGGGTGGTGCAGGAGGGAGGCACCTGGCATGCGATGGAGAAGTGAAGATGCACCGTCTTTCGAGATGATATACTGAAATGGGTAATCATGCTGCTGATGGCAACAGTAATCGCCAACATCGAAAGCGTACCGGTCGCACTGTTCTAACTGCCTTGCATGTAGGATTTCTTCCGTTTCCTTAGTAACTCAGTGAGCTAGCAACTAGTATCGTCCTCAGCTCCACAGATGAGTCCCAGAACAGCTAAATAACTCGCCCAAAGTCTCACAGCTAGTGAGTAAGGGAGCCAGGATGAGAACCAGGGAGGGAGGTCTCTGTGGCCTGAGGAGGGCCATGTGATTGTGTGTGTACTGAGAGCGAAGAGCCAGGGCAGGGAAGAGCTTGAAGATGGGGGTGACGGGAGGGAGCATGGATTCTTTCCTGTGGTCCTCACAGAGCTCTCTGAGGTAGCCATTGCGGCCTTGACTGTACCATCCATCAAAAAAGTTAACGTCTATGAAATGTAGTAATAATCGGGTCTACCATTTATTGAGCACTTACAATATGGCTGGCACCTCATATGCACTATGTCATTTAATCCTCACGGTAGGCTGGAAAGAGTACATGTCACTGTCATCCTTATTTTAGGGATCAGCAAAGTGAGGTGTAGAGAGGCTGATAAACATGCCTGAGATTCCAAAGCACAGAAGAGGTAGCGCTGAAGATTCTTTCCCACAGCTGCAATCCCACCCACCTGACTCCAGCGTCCTAGAAATCCTTATTTCTGCTTTTTGTTCCTT